CAATTTTCCATTAAAAGCAAGTTTGACCCTCATTTAGTTTATATTCTAGTTATCCATAGTCCCTTCCTCTGATTATGGCTCCTCGTATGTTAACAGATTTCTTTCTATGTGCTTGTCATTTCATTGCCACCTAGTGGAAAATCCAGCTGATATTGTTAATATGGTTTACAATGCAGCAGGCTAGATTTTATCTCCAAAAAAATTGTCTTCACAGTCAGTATTCAAAAATATTCCATCAAATTACACCAAAGTGTTTTAAAGAGAATTTCCTATGGTTATGTATTCATGACATAACTATTTCTTTTGTATTTATTTCATACTTACAAGTGAAAGAGTGTTAGTAAAAGGTGTATTTGTCAAAAAAACAACTTAATAAGCAAACCTAATAGTTTAGATATTATGCATAGTAGAATATGCATTTCTTAAATCACTGAAAAATAACTTTCCTACAATATTTCTTAAATACCAAAAAGAATATTAACTACAACCTCGTAGCTGATTTTCCCATGTTATCTTTTATGAAACTTTCATTGTTTCTGTATGTGGAGATGAGTATGATTTAATTCTATGGAGTAGAAAAAAGGACAGATAACTTCTCTATCACTAGTTTTGACAGTTCTTTTTATTTGCTCTCACATTTTCTCTGAATTTAACAAAAATAACATAGAGTAGCACTCTTGAAATATACTTTTAAAGGCACTATATCTTCTGATTATTTTCCACAGTGGTTTATTTTGAATAAGCATAGGTAAAAAGAAAAAGGTTTTGAATCATGTATTTGTAAAGCCACATAAACTTGTATCCTTCTTTAAGCCCAAACCCCTAGTGTACATCCCTGAAAAAGGAGAAAGGCTAACTTTGTTTTCTAATAGAGCTGTACCAAATAACTCTCCTAGGCAATCATACTGACAACAAACAATAAAGAACCTGTCATAAAATAACATGTTTTTATGGTATGCTGCCAGAAAACTGAGTTTGCAGTGGGATAAATTGCACCATCCTAAAATATGGGCACAAAGGAGGATAGGAAATATGGGATTTATTGCTTTAAAATCAAACTAACAATGTATTACAGCAGTACATTGGGAAAAAATATAAAATGCTCTGAGCCCACTAAATAACCATGAATGATGAGAAGGTGTTTGAGTTGTAGATCACGTGAGCAGCTATATTGCAAGCTTTATGAAAAACCTCTTGAAATTGGTTTCCTTTTCCAATTTAGAAAAGAGAAAGGGACACAAGACAGGATAGATATGGGAAAATCACAAACAAGTACAATATAAATGAGTCTTTTAGCATTAGTGCTCCATCAAATGTTTTCAATTGCATTTTTTATTATGCAGTTCCTAGGGCTACCTTCTGACATTTGTTAATACCTTTAGAAGGGATGTTTGCTTTTGATTTATTTGCTGAAGAAAAGCCAGTGTTGATCCTGAGAAAAGTATTCAATTAATCTAGAATGTCAAAGATTAGAATGAATCCAATTTCATGAAGAAAAATTGAAAAATATACTCTTCCTTATTGTTTCTATGTTATTGGCACATTTCATTCCAGTTTAAAATTTCTCACACATTAATATTGGCTATTTGCTGTCTCCAGATGGAGAGAAGGGTGCCCTATCAGTATACTTCTACCTCCCAGAATATATGGTTACTATTACTCATCACTCTCTAAGTCTTCTAAGGGACATATGGTCACTGTTGAGCTTCAGTAATTGCCAGCAACTTCAAATTTCAGCCAAATTGGTGAGAAATCAAAACATAAAACAAGAATAAAAACAAGGGCTTAGGGTCAACTCATGGGCACTTGAACTTGGACTTTGAGGACTTGTATGAGTATTTGACTGTTCTTAGTCTAGACGAGTAAGGAGCAGTGTGGGAAGACTAATGAACTTGAAAGGAAAGAATTGATATATGTGGGAAGTCCCTAACGAGAGCCTTTCTTCCTAGAACACTGGACCCTATCTTCTCCTGGATAATGCTCATTCAGCCCCAGGGTTTCTCTAAACATCATCTTCTACAGTAAACATGATTGACCTCCACTCTCATGCCTCCCTGGCCTGATCTGAGTGGGGAGCCTCTTCCACGTGCTTCCATTCACTATCATGATCCTCATCATGTTGTATTGTCATTGTTTACTTATCTCAACCCCTCACCCTCAAGAGACTGAACTGAGGAAGACAAGATCTGTGATTTATTTAACTTTGTATACCCAGTATATAGGCACACGATGGAAGTTTACTAAATTAATAAACAAGTAGGATTAATGTCTGAGAACATGTTTTATACTGTACAATCCTCCTTCTTTAAAAAAGAAAGCATTTAGTTTGTCCTGCAAAGTAAATTCTGAAAAATCTACTCAAATCACAAATGCCTTCCAAAATGAAAGTGAGGAAATGCTTCAAAAGGAATGATATGTGGTTATACATATTTTTACTTTTCTCAAAGGAAAGTTAGTTGGCACAGCAGAAAATAGGTAGATTAGAAATTTTATGCCTAACATGGCTTCTTACAAGCCGAGAAACCCTCTTGAAATCACATCTTCAACTGAGAAATGGAGATAATCCTTTCTATGCTTGCTATTTTATAAAATTGTTGCAAGGATAAAATAAGTTAATGGGAATGAAAGTACTTTTTAAACTTTAAATTGGTATATTAAGGGTATTAAGATGCTTAAAAAGCATAAATGGGTTTTCCTTACATAGAATTTTCTATTTCTTTGTCTAATATAGGGTAAAAATTGAGGAATACATTTTGGTGACAAGTTTGAGTTTGACATTGTCACTGTCAGTACTTGGATGTAAGTAGGGTTTTTTTTGGCCTATAACTTTGAGCTGTTTTATTTATTATTACTACAACCAACACTATATCATCAAATATGAAACTTTAATGAAGCTTTAGGTTCAAGTCTCTTTTGTCTTTCCTTGTGGGAGAGTGAAAATTCAGTATAAAGGAAAAAAATTGTTCATGCCTGTTTCAATTACTTTTAACATTGGCTATAATGTACTGATTTTGAAAAGCTCCTTGGTGGACGAGAGGCAAAATATAATATCAGCTGCCAGGTTCTTTGTTGCCTGCCCACACATGGCAGAATAAAATAGAGGATAACTGGTCCTAACTGGTCTCCACTCTGATATGAGACTAGACTTCGCAGGAAACCTGCCATCAGCTATAACATTATTAGCTAGATTATAATATATTGGAGTAATATTGAGACTTTACCACTCTGGCAATCAAAGAGTTTAATAACTTCCATTATACCCAGAATTATAATGATTTGAAATGTTTTACAAGGGATGGGTTAAATGGGTGATGGGTATTAAGGAGGGTACTGATTGTGATAAGCACCAGGTGTTGTATGTAAGGGATGAATCACTAGTTCTACACCTGAAACTAAAATTACACTGTATATTAACTAACTGGAATTTAAATAAAAACCTGAAACTACAAAAAAATGAAATGTTTTTCAAGACCAATGAAACAATAAATCAATTTTCCAAGTACTTGATTGATGCTCATTATACTAAAGAGGTGCCTTAAGGTCTCTCTGCCCTTACCCATGGCCCAGAAATGACACAGATACTGCAGAAATTTGGTGTTGTCTGCAAACCAGTCCCGTGCCATTGCAACAATCTTGCTGCACAAAATTTCAAGATGGCACAATAGTGGTCCCATTGGCTTTTTAACCCAGCCACTTGAGGTGTGATAACTCATTAGTTGAAGAAATACTTTCTCAAGTGTCTACAAGCCAGAGCAGTAATGTGGCAGTTACAAATTGCTTCCTGTCCATCACAGAATATAGAAATTTCACACTACCCTTCACACTAATCACAATTCTTCCCTTGAAAATAAGTTATTTGAACAATTCCATTACTGAGTGCCTGATAACCTTTTTCCTTTGGAGAAGTACACAGAAACAATTCAAAATCATTGTATCACCCCTGCTACATGCCATGATACGAGTTTTGTGACTAGAATTTAACAGTTCTGTATGAGAGAGAGTATATGTTGGTATCAACAGTTTATTGAGCTCTAAATTCTTTAATTTCCCCCAAAGAACACTTATCCTATAAGATATATTTTTTAAATTCCTGTAATAATATTATAAAATATCCTTTTAAAGGATTGTTCAATGAAAGTTTAACAATTCAAAATGATAGAATATATGGTATTAGTTGGCACAATTATTCTGTTGTTATATAATTCCTAACCTTTATATCCATGGAACTCTACAGCAAAATCCTGAACAGACTTCTAAAATCCTTTACTTTTGTAATATGTCATGCAAGACCTACTTCTACATACATATTGTACCATCTATATACTTGTCATTCTTGTTAATCAGATACCATATGGCTTCCTAACCTTCTCTCTCATACCCTGCAATTAGTATCTCCTACCCTTCTTCCCCTCATCACACACACACACACACACACACACACACACATTTTCACATATACATTTCATCCAAACCAGCTGGTCTCCAGACCTTTGATTGGGCCCACTTATTCTCCACTTCCTTTTCATTTAATGCTCTTTCCCTCAGCTAGTTCAGATTCTTCTATTTCAAAGTTCATTGCCTTCAAGAAGCACAGAATTCTTGACTTCGTAAATCCACCATTCATCTTAACCTTACTTTGAATATTCTCATTAGTTATTTATACACTATGTGTACCACACCAGTATTGGCTTCTTTTACATTGCCTCTGAAGGATTCTGGGAGCCCCAGGTTGGCATATAGCATCTTCCAGGTAGATTTGAAATTCCTCAAGACCAGGAGCCATTTACTTGACTTTCTCTGATTTCCCATTCCATTTGATACATGCTATGCTCAAAACAGGCACTGAATGCTTTTTGAGTAAGTGCTTGAATGAATTTTGAAAATGAATAACTGTTCATTGCTTAAGATTTGTTCAGATGATTATCAAAGATACCTGAAGTATTCGTTTTTAAGCAATCCGGTTTGTTTTAATCAACCAAAGTGTATGGTTTTATACTTACCGGAACAGAAACTTGAGGATTATCTGCAAGTTTTCCCAGCACAGCAAAGCCATCAACACCAATTTGGCCTCTTGGCTTTATAGGTAAGGATTGAATCCTGTTGCAATCAACAAAAAGAGTAGCACTACTCCTTTCCACACCGATCATGATCTTATGCCACTGGGAATCAAACAAGGAAGGCAAATTTGAAAAGGTTGCAGTTTGGAGACTTCCATCCATTCCCTTGTATGAAAATGCAACAGATTTTGTTTGGCCATTAATCTTCACGCCAACTTGCTCCTTCCCTGAGGAATCCTGAATCTGCCAAATGGTCCAGGTCTTTTCAAGTGTGTTTCCAGTCATCCGAAAAGTAGTTAAAAAGGAGTATTCTTCAGGCAGACCATTGGGATATAAATGCCTGAGTAAAATTTTAAAACAGTAAATAAAAGTCTTGTTTTCTGTACCCATGCATATTACCATATTCCCTTATTATGCTTTCTTAGATTCTAGATCTACAGAAAGGCTACAGTGTGAAAAACTATGCCCTGTTTGTTCTTTCATGACTGTCCATAAAAACCTTCAGAAAAGTTCAATCATTCATGTACATTAATGCTCCGTCCTAAAATACACATTTAAAAAAACCCTTCCTCATAGCTGAGGGTTCCCAATGCCACATAACTCCAACAATATTACTGTTTATACTACCTAAAGAACTCCTGTTCAGCAATTCCTTCTCAGCCAAAAAACATATTCTTGCAAGATTTTTGGCAGCATTTCTTCCACAAATTAAAGAAGAGATCATTTGGAATCCAAGTCAGCTCTACTAGTTAATAAAGCCATTTAATTAAAGCAGCTTTTAAATTTTTTATTTTAATATAGTACGTTGTTGAACACTTCATCTAAAATTAATGATGTAATGTATGGGGATTAACATAAGAATAAAAAAAAATATAGTACGTTGTTAGGAGTATTTGTTATTTCCATAATTGTTTGGGTAGTTCCCTCCACAATTATATCCTAGACCCACATATGCATTTTGAGAATCAGTAACTGTATAGACTTGAGAAGCTCCTTCACACTGAGCATGTTAGATGCCATTAATTTTGTTTGGTAAATAATATTTACATTTCTGAAAACAGTTATGGACCAGGACTCAAAGTCCCGAATAACCTTCCTTCAGGTCAGACTCCTATTAAATAGCCCCCTCTTGTGAAAGTAAAAAAGAGAAAGGCAAGAAGAAATATCTAAGTGGATGCTGATTTGATTTGTTACAAAATGAATAACATATAAAATTATCATATTGGCATATGTGTTACTGCCAGTTAATTAAAATATATTGTTGGGGGTCAAGAATTTCTAAACCAAAAAATTATTCAGTTCCAAGAATGTTTAGCAACAAGTGAAATTACTCAACTTACTAAGCTTTTCTATCTTTATGCTGACTTTAACTGTAAAATTTTACCATCCCTCACAATAGCATAAATAAACATATAACTTACTTTACTGCAAATATTTTGTACACCTTCAATAAAATGGGTCAACTATGTCAACAAATTTCATTGCTTTGCTGATTTTATAAAAATAACAAAAATATGAAGCTTTTCACCTGAACACCCTTTTAGCATCCAAGTAGTTTTTTTTTTTAAAGATTTTATTTATTTATTTATTTGAGAGAGAGAGAGAGAGAGAAACAGCATGAGAGGGGATAGGGTCAGAGGGAGAAGCAGGCTCCCCGCCGAGCTGGGAGCCCGATGCAGGACTCGATCCCAGGACTCCGGGATCATGACCTGAGCTGAAGGCAGTCGCTTAACCAACTGAGCCACCCAGGCACCCCCAAGTAGTTTTTTTAACCTTAAGTTCTCAAATGACTTTTTTTTATTTATAATACTGGGTGAATTCCTTTGTTAGTACACATTCTTAAGTGGTCACTGGTGATATGTATTATACTTATTGCAAAGTTTTCGATTCATTAAGTATTTGTCAAGTACACAGGAGGTTTTGGGGTGCCTGGGTGGCTCAGTCAGTTAAGCATCTGCCTTTGGCTCAGGTCGTGATCTCAGGGCCCCGGGATCAAGCCCCACATTGGGCCCCTTGCTCAGTGGTGTCTGCTTCTCCCTCTTCCTCTGTCCCTCCCTGCCCCCACTCAGGCTTGATCTCTCCTTCTCTAATAAATAAATAAAATCTTTTTCTAAAAAAGTGTACAGGAGGTTTTAACACGTACATTTAAAAAGATTCAGTTTGGAGCTAAAGAAGAAAAAAAAATGTGTGTAAGAACTATTTCCCCAGAATAAAGATGTCTACCTATTTGGATATTTACTTTTAATATAGATTTTGTTTGACATATTTCCATTGACTTTAAATTTTTCAGAATATGCATATTCCAGAATAACCTCTAGAGAAAAAGCTCAGGTTCACTGATGACAGTATAATATATTGCCTACTGTATAATTATAAAACCTTACAGAAGTTTATACATTTCATTTAAATGACCTCAATTAACTTGGAGCTGGGAGATAAGTTTTAAAAGTTTTATCCAGTGGTGAAATTTGACAAGTATCCATTTAAATTATGAATATGTTGTTTTAGTATTCTTCTCACTTAATGATCTGGATTTAACCAGATGCTTAAAGAATTTTTCTTTTTTGTCCAAATATAGTTATTGTTGGGGTGTGAGCCTTTCATAGAAGAAAGATAAATCTTAATGTTTTGTTCTCTTCCTTAAAGCATTCTTTTTCTAGGTTTTTGTAAACCTGTTACCAATGTATTTGTTTACAGATGCACTGAGCAAGGCCGTAGAATTTCATCAGTCCCTAGATAAAACAAATCTATTTTGCTTTGATTCCACAAGTCACAGTAACTTGTCTAAGTGACTCTTTTGCAAAGACATCGTGAGGTTGACTGAGGAATCTCTCCCAATTTATGCTTCATCTCATCTTTCCTGCTAAATGAGCAAAGAGATTATGTTGAAGGTAGGATAGAACATAATGTCCCCATTTACCTCTGACTTGGTTTTGTAATGCCAAAAACTTTTTTAAAAAAATGAATTGGTGACTGACGTTGCTAGAAGAACAGTTCATTTATAGACATATTGTTAAATCAAAGGTATCCATCTGCTCTCTTTCTTCATATACATGAAGATAATATATATGTTTATGTTTGTGTATATATACAAGTATAATCAAAATTATCATGTTATTAATCTTTTAAACTAGGTAATACAATTTGTCAATATAAGAGAAGAAAGTTCCTTTCAGTGTTCAAATTAATAAAATATATCTGTATTTATACATACTTAAGACCTTTTAGAAGTCCTCACAAGTCTAATAGCAGTTGGTAGCATTGTCTTTTTTGAACACCTGAGAGTCTGTTCTTGCAAAGATGCTATGCACATCGATAAGTAAACTTGACAGCTTACATAATGTAAAAGAAGCTGGACCTATAAATGATTTATTTCATTATGTTACAATCTGCACAGAGTACCTTAAAAGAAGAACTGTAAGGGTTTGAATAAAAGATAAGAAGACGTTAGACCTTGAAATGGTTGTTTATGACCTTAACCCAAAAAAGAGCTAAGAATTGTATTTGTTAAGGTAAACAAACAAAAAATGTTTAGAAATTTGAGTTGAGAATATGATACTATTATGTCTAAATAAAGAATAAAAAGCAAAAAATTATGTCTCATAATCTTTCAAAAAAATTGAAAATAGGAAGGTAAATTGTGATTCTATCACATCAGCTTTATACGCCATATTCTCGTTTCCCTCCCCCCGAAAATCCTGTTAAGGTTTTTTTTTTTCATTCCCTCAGAACCTGTATTCTCCAGTATAGAAATTTCCTTTAAACCGAGACTACTCCCTGCATGGTCTGAGAGCAATTCCAGTCCCTGCTTTTCTTGCCACCTGGTTTTTGAATGAGTAGGACTAAGAGGGCAGCTTGAAAAGAAAGAATCCACTAAGGAGAAAAGGCTCCCATCTGCACACTCTCTCCTTCTAGTGCTCTTCACTACTTGAATGAATACTTAACTAATACTGCCATCTGCCAGGCTCTGTCCAAACCCTCTCTGACTTATTAACATTTGCTCCTATGACACAGTTATTATCATTCCTAATTTATGCTGAAGGGACTGAAACAAAGATAGTGTAAGTACTTGCCCAAAAGTACACTTTATTACCTATTTGAGACTCCATTTATTTCAGTGCTCTGCCTCTCCCCTCCTCTTTTTATTTCTTTCTCCTACTTTTTTCTACTTCCTACCTAATTCTTTTTTCATCTTTTAATAAGCTTTGCCAGTAAAGCAGAGATTTTAGTCTTTGGGGGGCAGGGAGTCAATGAGATAAGAGAATATGGGACACTGGTTATATACTGTGAAAAATATTTAGTGACAGCTCTAGGCACTTAGAGAAGAGCAACAGCAAAGATGAGCAGGAGGTACAGGTTTATGTGGCCTCAAGTTGGTCAATATCTGAACTTAATGACAGTCCAGATTGTACCTCAAATTATAGAAGAGAGAATTAGGTCAGCAGTGGGGGGCCTTGCATCATGTTTATTTTATTAAAGAAAGAAAAAAATGGATGTTTTTAAAGCTTATTTAAGAACACAACTAGGGCTAGACACTGGGCATGGAGACTACTTTTTTTAAAAAAAGAACACAACTAGCACTTCTGTGCATGAAAAGAAAATATAAGCAAAAAAAAAAAAGTCAGTAGCTGTTACCATGCCTATAATCTTTCCAAATGTGAATAATTTTCCAGGGTCAGTATTGAATAGTGGTTGAAGCACCATTCTGCCTGAATTTCAGTCCTTCTAGCACCTCCTAACCCTGGGACCTGATGTAAGTAACTTAAATTTCCTGGCCTCAGTTTACTCTTTCATAAAATATGGATAATAATGTCTCTACCACAGGGTTGTGATGAGGATGAGATTTAATGTTAATTAGTAAATTTATAAAAAGGGCTTATGCAGTACACTATTGTCATTTTATAAAATATAGTTCATATTTAGAAAAAATATAGTTCATATGTTCAAAATATGAATTTCTATCTGCAATCTGGCACTATATCAGAATATTCTAATTTGACCAAAATTTTCATTATTATAAACATTTAGAGCTTTTGTAATACTCTTTTACTGTTCTAAGTAATCACTATTTACTTTTACACCTTAATTTTTATCAAAGCCTTAATTTTCTTGTTCATCTATCAAAGGAATCCTAATTCAATTTTTTGCAGTGCACTAAAATATACAATAATTATGATAATTACATATAAGGTATTTAAGTGATATAAAACTGAAAATCCTGAAGCTCATTCATAACAATGGCTTGACTCAACACATACACTAAAGCACCACAGTTATAAATAATTTAAAGGATAAAAAACATAGTTCTAGAGAAGGATGTAAATGAAGTGGAGGATTTTTAAATTATTATCACTACCATTGCTTCGGTTATCATTATTCTAGTTTTGCTTTTGTTTGATTCCTGCCAGGAGCCAAGAAGTAGATATGTGGTTCGATTTCAGCACCAGGACGCTTGAACAGCACCATTGTGAGTCTTCCTAACCACTCCGCGGTTCCTAGTTAAATTTATGCTTAAACTCTGGCACTTTTCACAGAGGGTCCTTTCAGCCAAAACCAGACAAATTATACAAAAACAGAGAGCAAAGTAATAAGAACATGTCCTGAATCAATGTATAATGGTTTCAGTGACTTTTTTTCTCCCTGGAATGAAAAGTAAATTACATACTGAAAACATGAATCTACATATTTAGACACTGAACACTGAAGTAGATAGGTAAATATATTTCTTCATCTTCAAATAAAATCATGATCTAAGAAGCATTGAGCATGAGAAGATTTTCTAACATTGCATAGCTTTTCATTTCTTAAAATGCATTTGAGGCAGATAATTAGATAAAATATTTTTATATACCTTGTTGGAATCCTGAAGTCTACATTATTTCCCAATTTGTAAGCCACTTGTAATGCAGTTGATCCTACTACCCTCTGAATAGCTCTTCTAGATGCTGCTTTATCTACCTGGAACTGAGAAATCAAGTCAAAGCCTACAGAAAGGGAACACAAAATAGAAAGTCTAAAATGAGATTGGTTATATTCTTTTCCACAACCTTCCTAAATAAAAGAATATATCAGGTAGGTTTATAGAAAGCATGGATTTTCAATATGATACAGGACTACTTGCCTGGTAAATCATCTTGACCAATCCTGACCTTTGGACAGAGTTCATTTCCACCATTAGAGTTTGAATTAACAGGGAATCCTGCAAAAGAGATAGCATGTCATCCTACCCCAACCCCTACAAGGACCATCAAGATATATCAATAACAATAAGAGCTGAACAACTATTTAAAGGAGAATAATGTGCCAAATAGCTTGCTTATAGTGTATTTGGCTTTAACTCTATGACTCTATGATTATAATTAATTCATCTTCAGCTTATCCTGGAAGAGAAACAAAGTGGGAAGTTTTAATAATTTGTACTGGGAAAACGTTACTTGGGAGAAGTTAGGAATTTGTTCCTTTTGGAACCAGAGCTGTACAATTTTCTGAATGGCAGAGTGTCAGACGTCTGTTTGGAAAACTTCTGGTGGCTTGGACTAGAAAATATTCCTTAAATACCACAAATTTTAGAATTCCTAAGAGAATCCAGAGCCAGCCTTGAGCCAGTTTATGGGACTTCTGGAGAGTGGAGTTCTCAGGAATCTTTGTTAAATAGAGGAGTTTGGGGGGGGACTTGGGATTCACTAATCCAAAATAAAATTTATAGGGTGCTTTTAATTTTACAAATTCTTTCCAAGAGATCAGAAAAAATGATCCCAGCTAGACTATTGCTAGCATCCTAGGATGGGTAAAAGTAATGAGAAAAAGAAAAGAATCATGAAAATGATTAAACTCTTAATTCAATGAGAAATCCTAGAATTAAATTGGGTGCTCCTTACACAGGTAGAAAGTTGCAGAAAGTTTTTAAGAAGTCTTCTTGTAACTGTCCAACCCCAGCACCCTGCTGAGACTCACCTGACAACAGAGACTTCCCAGACTTCAGAAAAAGCATTTTCCAGCTACAAGTTTTGGTTCAGCCATCCCAGTATATCAAAATACTCTTTATACCTCCACTGACCCCAGGTCATCCATCCATCCATTCATCCATCCATCGGTGCACCCACCTAATATTACCAATCATCATTGAACCCAGTAGGCACTGTGCAAGGCACTGGAGTACACAGCTTGGCTTTCCTGTCAATTGTGATCACACCCAAGACTTCTCTTCTATACCTAACACTGCCCACATAAAACCAGCCATGGAGTAAACCCATGGCTAAAGCAGGATTGAAGAGTGAGGCTGTGGAGGACTATGGATGTTTCACTCAGTCCTCACTCAGCCACAGCCCTGCCTGATCCTTTCTGGGAACAAGTGATATTTCAAAATCCAGTAATTGTGGTCTTACTTGGGCGACGCTTGACAGCAGCAGATGCCCAAGATCCCAGGAAACTGCATACAAAGAAGAAAACTGGAATTTTCCTAAAGAGGAGAAAAGAAAATAACTCAAATAGGAATCCCTCCAGATGGGGACTACTCAAATATTTTGAAATATGGTAAACACAATTAATGTAGGTGATCAAATCTCAGTATAGTTTATTTTTTTCCATTTGACTTTGAAATCTTGAGAGATTTAATGAATTCTCACATTTCCAGCTCCTACACTAAAACAATCATGAGACTGCTGTTTGCTCTATCTCACTTTCTCCATATCTACCTATTTCACCATTTCTACATCTATTTCCTTGTCTATGTTTTCTTTCTTCTTAGTATTTCTCCTTCTTCACTTTAATAGCTCTCTCTTTCTTCTTTCTCTGTCTCTCTCCTGTCTCTTATGCTTGTTCTCTTGTCTCACTCTCATCTGTCTCCCTGTCTTTCTCTGTCTGGGTCTCTCTCTCTTTCTCCTCACCCCTCTCCCATCTCCCCTCACCTCCTCTCATCCTACCATCACTGCAGAAACACAGACCCTTGGTTGTAAGGGCCCCCAACCCAGTCTCCCCATCACTCTTTCCAATGTCAAGGCCTTACCAGAAGTTCTTCATTTTCCCAACCGGTTTTCTTTTGTACCAACAGTCCTAGTGATGAAGGGGTTGTAGGGGAGGGAGGTCAGTGCTCCCCCCAAGATCCCTTCACTGTCACCCCAGAACTAATGGGTTCTGGGCCCAGCCTTTGTTCCTCCTGCCCTTGTAAGGGCTTAAAGCAAAGGGAATGAACCAGAGGCATCTGGTGACACTTTAAACCACAGCAGAGGGAAGGGGTGGGGAGAGGCGGCCCTGTGAGCCCAGGCCTAGCCAGGGGTGTGTCCTCAAAGCTAACAAGGTTACACTGAAGGAGGGATTAGCAAGGGAAAGTTTGCTGAAAAGAAAAAAGTCAGGATGTGGAGAAATTCACCAGAAAAATTCAAGCAAGCTGCTATAGGAATACAGTGGAAGCTTTTAGAACTGCTATAGGAATACAGTGAATGAATGCTTTTAGAGGACTGAGGTAAAGAGGGGCTCACTGGAAAGCAGAGATGTGGGAACTCATGGGTATCTTGGTGCACAGCCAACCTAGATTTGTATCTCCATTTGTTCTGAAGCATACTAGTTGTATGTTTTGGGGCAAGTTAGTTAATCTGTCTGTAACTCAGTTACCTTAGATGAAAAGTGGTTCGGTTTTTTTGTTTGTTTTTTTTTTTTTAATTTGACAGAGAGAGACACAGTGAGAGAGGGAACACAAGCAGGGGGAGAGGGAGAGGGAGAAGGAGGCTTCCCGCGGAGCAGGGAGCCCGATGTGGGGCTCGATCCCAGGACCCTGGGATCATGACCTGAGCCGAAGGCAGACGCTTAACGACTGAGCCACCCAGGCGCCCCGAAAAGTGGGTTTTAAATAGTCACCTAAAACAATTGTTTTGAGAATTAAACAAGATAGCAGAGAGTCTAATTCCTGGCTCAGGGGAATAGTCATTATTCCCCATCATCATCATCATTATAGCTAATATAACTTCACTCTTTGCCCCCCTCTGTTGAAAATGCTTGAAGCCTGATAACATTTGATTCTCAGGACACTATAAAGTAAAACTAAAATTATTCTTATTCTACAGGTGAGACAACTGAGGCACAGAAAATAAAGTAACTTGTAACTTGCTCAAAGTTGCACAGCTAATTAATTACTCAATACATGCCAGTTCTCTGTACTTCATGGCTAGAAATCTTGGTAAAATGTAACATCAAGCCCCCTAGTTTTTATTTTTTCTTAAACTCTATAATTACCGGAGCTAAGTAGAATATCTTGGGAAATAAGCAACATATTATCCTCTATGAACAAGTTGAGAGCATGTTACAAGGAGCACAGACCTGAAGAGAAAGGTTTTTATCAGAACCATGTCACACAAACCAATCCTCTCTCCAGAACCTGAGTACTTCAAGAGAGAGCCTCCACCCTACTCACCTGGGATGGTCTGTTTCTTGTCCCATCTTGGGGGACATCAGTGTCCACTCCAGAAACAAAGACTTTCAGGCCCAGATGATCCAATGATCTTAATAAGTTTTGGTGTCTAGTGTGAAATAGTATTGTTTTCTTGAAATTTCTTTAATTCTGAAATCAATTTAATTTTTCAATTGTAAAATAAATGGTATTATTTCTTATTTTTTGTTTGTTTCTTAAAAAAAAAAATTCCTTCCTCTTCTGCTTTCCTCAGCTCGATGGAGAATTTGCTGCCCCTGATGAGCTGAGAACCAGGTAAACCTGAACATCCACACCCTTTGTTCCCGTTTCCTTTTCTACTCATGACCTACCTGTCTCCCCCTGGCATTAGGACATCCATTTCCTCATGTTGTTTGGGGCTCTCCACGGGGCCCTGTCATTCTCCTTCCATCTATCAAAATTAGGATTCCCAAATGTAGCCATTTTGGCTGAGTCACAGAATTATAAATGGTCCTAGCCTAGCTTTTTCTTGAAAGTTGACTAGGGCTTATGTAAATGGAGTTTATTAACCCAAAAAACCCTGAACTTCCAATGGTAGGACTTCAGAAGAGAAACTGTGCAGCTGGGGACCTCCCTGAAATCACACAAGGTAAGACAGCCCTAGATCCACAGGGGAAGGGGCATTTTCCAAAGGGACCCTCTCCACTTAAGTTCTTTATTCATAGTACAGATCCTCCAATACTATTTACTGTGGGAAACAAGAGGGGCTGGTTTTCCTATATAATTAAGTGTTTGAGAAATCCTTTTGTTAAGTGTTTTACATATTTCATTTCTGCTTTTGTCCCCTCCTCCTCCCACTCTGAAGATTCCTCTACAGCTAGGATAAGAAGGCAAATGAAGGGGGACTTTTAATAAAAGATTTTTGAAATGAGAAAAAAATAGGTTTTCTCATAAGTGGTTTGGCTTTATTCCAGCTTGGCAGTTTTATGTAAAATGATGAAGAGCAAGTAACAGCTCTATTAAGAAAGAATATAAGTCCAGAGAAAACAAGATCTCTCTCTCTCTCTCTCTCTCTCTCACACACACACACACACACACTCATTTAAAGATACTTTTTTCTCCCTTTTCCACTCCTGTTTTATATTAATCATATTTCCTAACTTGACATGAGAGTCTCACAGGGAGCAGTGCAAACCCCACACTCTCTGGCCTGGGTCAGAGTGCACCCTAAAACCAGACACAAGCTTTTTCATCACTAACATTGTTCCCTCACTTTACTTAACAGTTTTGTTCCTGAGAAACTATGTGGAAATGAAATCTGATCAATTATATAAGATTGTAAATGCACTAAGACAGCATGATATTTTAAAATTATCCATTTTGTAAATAGAAGTATTTTATACGGAATAATTATGCTTTCATCCCTTTTTACTCCCTCCCTTCCCCAACACATACTGCTCTATACAACACACACACACACACACACACACACACACACACACATCTTTCCCTTTCTAGAAATCCAGAATTTTATTTACTTACAGTTTATATCAGGGAATATCATCACAAATAATCAGCTTTCTTGATCATCAACTCTCTTTCATTTGTGTACCCAATCATTCAGCAAACACTTATTGAATGACTATATGTACCAAATATATAACCACTCTTACCAAGTGCTAGGAATTGAGGAGACAAAAAACTTTGCCCTGAGGAAGCTCACAGCCCAGTTGGGAAGTCCAATATGAAAATGACTGCAAAAGAGTGAGGGAATGAGGTTGCAGTGTCACTGAGAACAAGTATGAACTCAGTCCAGGAGCATCAGGAAATTTTTCATAAAGGGAGTGCAATCTTAAAGGATGAATAGAAGCCTACCAAGAAAACAAGTGGGAACAGTACATTCTGGGCAGAAGAAATAGCAGGTACCATGACAAAAAGGTAGAAGAGAGTATTTCAGGAACCCCAAGTTTAATTCAGGAACTCTTTCACTTGGTAAATATATATTGGTGACTCTTCTACCATGAGCCTTGAACTGGTCTCAGCACAGAGGTACAGCAGAGAAAGACCAGGTCCCTGCCCCGTGGACTTTACAGCTGGTGGGGAGAGAGATACTAAATACATTTACAAGAATAGACATGGTAATTTGAATTGGAACTGTTATAAAAAATATATAGGGGTGCCTGGATGGCTCAGTTGGTTAAGCAACTGCCTTCGGCTCAGGTCATGATCCCAGGGTCCTGGGATGGAGCCCTGCATCAAGCTCCCTGCTCCTGGGGAGTCCGTTTCTCCCTCTCCCTTTGCCTGCCACTCTCCCTGCTTGTGCTCTCTGTCAAATAAATAAATAAAATCTTTAAAAATATATACAAAAGTGGGCAATGTGTATTAGAGAAGGGCAGGGGTAGGTTTAGAGGTTGATGAAGATTGAGGGGTAAGGGAAGGCTCTGAGATGATAAATTTTGACTCAGACTAGATGAGAATCCAGAGACAAGACTGATGGGGTAGACTGAAAAAGGAGAGGAGGGCAGATGGAACTACTTGGTATTTAAGTTTAGCAACCGGGTATATGGTGATGTCGTTTTCTGAAATGACAAGTAGAAGGACCATGGGGGAGGCGCTGAGGAAGGGGAAATTGAAAACCTTTGAAAGAGTTTGGACTTTATTTTGGCTATTAAGGGAGCTGGATGAAGAGTTTGAGGCCAAAAATAACTTTAGATATGTCTTCAGAAAAATGGTTCTGGCATTGCTGAAGGATGGATTGAACGGATTTGATAAATATACTCAACTGAAACAAGTTTCAGAAGACAGTACTTTATTTTTTTTTTAATTTTATCATGTTATGTTAGTCACGATACAATACACCATTAGTTTTTGATGTGGTGATCCACCATCCATTGTTTGCCTGTAACACCCAGTGCTCCATGCAGTATGTGCCCTCCTTAATACCCATCACTGGGCTAACCCATCCCCCCACTCCCCTCCCCTCTAAAACCTTGTTTGTTTCTCAGAGTCCATAGTCTCTCACGGTTCATCTCTCCCTCCGATTTCCCCCTCTTCATTTTTCCCTTCCTTCTCCTAATGTCCTCCATGCTATTCCTTATGTTCCACAAATAAGTGAAACCGTATGATAATTGACTTTCTCTGCTTGACTTATTTCACTTAGCATACAGTACTTTATCCATGTAAAGGTAGAGCACTCTATTTTCTGTTTTATTCTATTTCATTTTTTACTGATGATGACCAACTCAATAAATTGATTTCAGGACCAGTTAATCGGTTGCAGCCCATGGTTTTAAAAACATTATGTTAGGGGCGCCTGGGTGGCTCAGTCGTTTCAGCGTCTGCCTTTGGCTCAGGTCACAATCCCAGGGTCCTGGGATTGAGCCCTGCATCGGGCTCCCTGCTCGGCGGGAAGCCTGCTTCTCCCTCTGCTTGCCGCTCCTCCTGCTTGTGCTCTCTCTGTCACATAAAATCTTCTTAAAAAAATAAAATAAAAAAATAGAAACATTGTGTTAGAATACAGTAGGCACTAGATATGTCAAGATATATCTTTCCCCTTATTTCCTGGCATAGGGCACAATAGTTGGGACATTCCATAAAATTCATAGAATAGTAGAGAAGGCTCCTTAGTTTTAACACA